TAGCAACCAATCAGTGAGCGGTAAGGATATGATGTAATCTTTAGCAACCAGTCAGTGAGCCTGGACCAATTAGTGAGTGTGCACCAGTTCTTTATATTTACATTATTAAAGTTTTTTGAGACAAGTCTATGTGTGTGTATGTTTGTTTTTTGGGATGTTGGGGTGGAATGCAAAATTGCATGAGGGGGGCCCAAGAATATGCTTGCCCAGGATACAATCAATATTAAAGACGGCTCTGCATATAGAGTGAAGAGTTCAAGGGTGGGCACAGAGAGTGCAGAGTTCAGCCTTCTTCCACAGTTGCTTATCTCTGCATGCATCTCATTTCCACCCCTCTTCAGCTCTGACCTCTGCATGCACTATCCCCTCCCCTTTCCCCCCCTCCACTGCCCCCATCTTCTCCCAACCTCCATAAAAGTTCCATTGTCTTCCATTTACTTACTTTTGTTGCTGTATTAAGTTGATGCACTCAGCCAGCTCTAGTACCTCCCTGCACACTATAGTTTGTTCCGCCGCTCTAACTTGCAGGGAGATCATACAGCGGAGGTGTTGACATCAGCACTGCACCCCGGGCACCTGCATCTCCTTTGTCCCCATCCTGCACTCAGGGGGAGCTACTCAAGATATCCAATCTGTGGGAAACATTGGGAGACAAGCTGTCACTTGAAAACAGAGAAGCCAGACTTCTGTGTTTACAAGTGATAAAGTCCTGGTACCGCGTATTTTGTGAGTCAACACCCTCTTATGGCCGAAGGCTTACTTGCTACTCTGGGTCCCACTTCAGAAGGATAAGGTCTTTTTCTCACAATTGATACCTATCCCAGCACTGTCTACAAAGCTATTGTGAGGGAACTTTAAAGTGTTACTAAACCCCGGGCCCTGCATTCATTATATCTGGTCTCCCACAGTACACAGAACATGGAAATGCAATTATTTTAGTAAATATAAATTGCTAAATACCTTTTCTCATAAGCAGCTACAGCAGTCATGTGACTTCTATCAGTGTTTAGCAGAGCACTGGTTACAGCTTGTAGGAGGAGTTTTCATTCTCCTGTAGCAGCAAGCAGGACCCCTGACCCTCTGTCTGGAAAATTCTGATTGGCCCTGTGCTGACACATGCATTTTTCCAAGGAAAAAAAAACTCTCTAGCTGTACACACCAAACTGAGCATGTGTAGCTTGCCCCTAGCCTCTATTTTATCAGGAGATATTTGAGAGACATTGGAAGAAGGGGAGGATTAGAGAAGAGAGGATCAAACATCCTTTTTACACAATGTGGAGGATTAACCCCTTAGTTTCCACAGTGAGTATAACAAGCATGTTTTACTGCATATACAGACTGATTTTACTGTTGTGGGTTTAGTAACACTTTAACACATGCTAAGCATTTTGGATTACTAAAGCCTTTGTATTTTTATATATGGCATTGAGATTGGTGCCTAAAATATCCCCAAAAACAAATTATCCTTCCATTTTATATATATTGGGTATGTGGCACCGGTTATGAATCGGACTACTTTGTTATTATTACTATACTTCCAGAGTGCATTAATGCAGTTATGCTAGGCCTAGAATGACTGGTATACACTGTCCATGGGAAGCTAGTGGCAATGGAAAGGGAAAGGAGGAATGTGTAGGGTTGATTCAATGGGAGCGGCAGTCCCTTAAGTGGTTCTTCTGCCAGCTATCATTGGGGCTACTTATTTGTAATAAACCAGCTTGCAGTGCAGGGTGGTAAAGATTATACAGGTAAGGCACAGAAGCAATATCCAAAAGAGGGGGGTATAAATGCAGAGTGTGTAAGACACAGATGCAATGTGGTGTGCCTAATGTCCAGCCTCAAATATCTCAGGTCCTGCTAACAAGGCATATAGTGGGTGATGAGCCCTCTCACTGGTCCCTGCGATACAACTGGAACTTGCAGTAGAAAAGAGGCACCACACAATCTCTCTCTCCTCTGAGGTCCTTCCGAAGACTAGCAGTGGGAAGCTGTGGGTGAGAGGTCTCTCCAGTCCCTCTACGGCAATGGCATGGCTTAATCACAGCGGTCTGTATTGTGCAACAAGGGCATCTGTTTCTCTCTTCTCTGAGACCTCCTGACAGATCTCTCCAGGCCTGGCAACAGCTGACCCTGGTTACAGATGTGTGCTCCCTGACGCAAAGAGACCGAAATTTTCCTGGGCAGTTCAGTAAAAGCCATCTTGCCCCTCCCCCTTCTGCTCATTGTAAATTGGGAACTCTAGTGTTGTGTTCACCAGCCCATTGCATGGCTACAGTCTCGAGCTACAACTCCCATAATTTACCATTGTCTGCATAGGATTCTATGGGCTTGTTTGACTTTGCTCTCCCCTAGTTGGTTGGAGGGTATAACGCAGCATAATGTCAGCATTACACTAGAAAGTAGAGCAACAGAGGGCATTGTCTCCTTCTCCCTGTTGCTGTAGCCTTAAAGCAGAACTCTGGGCAAAAACTTCTTTACATGCCCTTGTTGCTGATTTCTTATCTTCACTGAATATGTCATCCATCTTCTGGTCCACTCAGTAGTTGCTCTGAAATAGCCTATTTATTTTTTAATCAAACCATTAATTCTCTTTATTTTCCAGTTTGTAAGCATCCTATTCCCCCAGCCACAGGTCTTGGCTCATCCCTTCTATAGTTCTTTCTCCAGGAAGCTGTGATCTAATTCAATCCCACTTGGGTGGACCAAGACTCTCAGACACATTCAACATATACAGGCCTTTTGTACCCATCCATATTAACTACAATTACCTGTAGTTGATGGGAACTGTAGTTTCCTTTTTTCTGTAGAGAGGAGAGGATATGATGTAATCGCTGCTGTTACACTGCCTCCTTGGCAGAGCAGATGCTGTTATCTTTGGAACTACAGAGATGAGGTCATGAAAATTCAATTAGACTTTTCTCTGAAATGATAAGGATTTTCAAAATGTTAATAACTGGAGCTCTTCTTTAACCACTTCAAGTCCGGACACTTTTACCCCCTTCCTGTCCAGGCCAATTTTCAGCTTTTCAGCGCTATCACACTTTGAATGACAATTGTGCGGTCGTGCAACACTGTACCCATATGAATTATTTAGCATTTTTTTTTAATCAGATAAAGCTTTATTTTGGTGGTATTTATTCACCACTGGGATTTTTATTTTTTTTTGCTGTATAAATGAAAAAGTCCAAAAAGTTTGAAAAAAAAAGTGTTTTTCTTATAACATTTTGCAAATAAATAATATTTCATCATAAATCTTGGACAAAATGTATTCAGTTATCTTTTTAGTGAAAAAAAAATAACCCAAATTAGTTTATAACCAAAAATTATAATTTAAAAAAATCTTTTTACATTTTTATTTACATTTTTTTGTATTATTATTTATGTTTTTTTTTTTAACATACTGTCACCCTACCAGTACAGTGTCACTACTTGTGGGGGGTGATGAAGATTTTTTTTTTTTTAACACTGATTGCTTTTACACCTATAAAGGCTGTAAAAGCAATCATTTCTCCTTCTCTCTGGCTGCATTCTTGCAGCCATTGAGAAATACTGTGTGAGCTGTAATTGGTCACAGCTTGTCACATGGTACATGTTGTGAATAGCCTTGTACCATGTGGCCTCTGTGATCATTCACAGATTTCACACATAGTAAGCAATGAAGTCACAAGTGACATCTTGCTTACTACCCTGCATGTGATCACTGATTGGCCAATCAGTGATCACATTATCGGGACCTCGCACAGAGGTCCCGTACAACGATCGGTGTTCCACTGCGTCCGGAGGACACAGCGGGCACCGCATCGCGGTGCTGCGCACTCCCAGAGAGCGCGCACAAGCAGGGAGCGGGGAGGCCATTTATAAACGGCCACCCGCCCCTGCACTGCCACCATCTGGCCGTTTATATACATGGGCCGGAAGGGAGGTGGTTAAGTTAATTTTTTTTTTTTTTTGCAACTATGCTACATTAACGTACAAATAAATGTATAGAGTAAAAATGTTAAATACAAATACAAATGCAAAAAAATTTAAATAAATTAAAAAATAAGAAAAAAAAAAGCAAATAAAACAAATAAAAGAAAATATTTAGAAAACAACATTTTTTTTTCCTTGAAAAGATAATATGTAGTTTATTAAATTTACTTTTACCTTGTGAATTAGAACAGAGGGGTTACTACATTTGCACAGATGTGTTCTGTATTTTTTATTAATTATTTTTATTTATTTAAAATTTTTGAACAATTTCATTAAAAGTCACTTTTTAGTTATTTTCTTCTAATATACAGTATAGTTCAACTGACAAGCAAAGGTTGATATAAGCAACCTATTCTAAAATCTATTTTACAAATATAAGTAAATAAATATATGAGGGTCATTTAAGTCAAACCAGGACTTTTAATTTTCCAGGTATAAAAAGGGATGCTAGCGTATCGGTACTACACACAGTAGAAAGGGGCAAGTGTGTCCTATTACTGAATAGACACAATATATACCTGTGCTCAAATCCCAGTAACTTGTACATGCATTTATCTATCAGGTGCTAAAGTGGTGTAACCACATATTAACACCAGAAACTCTGGAAGAACCCTCTGCACACTGCTACATACCCTTTCAAGCAAACTGTGCAGGCCAGTCAAGTTCCTCCACCCCAAACTCACTCATCCATGTCTTTATTTACTTTGCTTTGTGCACTGGTGTGCAGTCATGTTGGAACAGAAAGGGGCAATCCCCAAACTGTTCCCAAAAAGTTGGGAGCATTAAATTGTCCAAACTGTCTTAGTATGCTGCCGCCTTAAAAGTTCCCTTCATTGGAACTAGGGGGCCAAGCCCAAACCCTGAAAAACAACCCCACACCATAATCCCCCCTCCACCAAACTTTACACTTGGCACAATGCAGACAGGTAAGTACCGTTCTCCTGGCAACCGCCAAACCCAGACACGTCCATCAGATTGCCAGACAGAGAAGCGTGATTGGTCACTCCAGAGAACACGTCTCCACTACTCTAGAGTCCAGTGGCAGCATGCTTTACACCACTGCATCCGACACTTTGCATTGCACTTGGTGATGTAAGGCTTGGATGCAGCTGCTTGGCCATGGAAACCCATTCAATGAAGCTCTCTATGCTCTGTTGGGCTAATCTGAAGACCACATGAAGTTTGGAGATCTTTAGCTATTGACTCTGCAGACAGTTGGCGACTTCTGTGCACTGTGGGCTTCAGCATGCGCTGACCCCGCTCTGTCATTTTTACGTGGCCTACCACTTGGTGGCTGAGATGCTGTTGTTCCCAGTTGCTTCCACTTTGTTATAATCCCACTAACAGTTGACTGTGGAATATTTAGTAGCCAGGAAATGTCACAGATGGACTTATTGCACAGGTGACCAACCTATCACGGGACCACGCTTGGAGTCACTGAGCTCCTGAGAGTGACCCATTCTTTCACCAATGTTTGTAGAAGCAGTCTGCATGCCTAGGGGCTTGATTTTATACACCTGTGGCCATGGAGGTTATTGGAACCACTTGAATCAAATGACTTGGAGTGGGTGTTCCAATACTTTTGGCAATATAGTGTATGTACAGTGTGTGTGTGTGTATATATATATATATATATATTGCATAATACTAAAATATTGTTTCATTTTAAAATGTTAACCAAAGTTGAACTTTGTGTTCTTGTGTATGTCACAGCACTTAGTACATCTAATTCATACTAAGTGCTCTAAGCTACTGTGTGCAATAAAATATAGCTATATTATGTGAACTTTTACCAAGTGTAATGAATGATTATATAGCCTCATCCTGCTTAAGCACACCTTATCATTCACTGTATCTATCTGCAACTCCTTCATAAAAAAAAAAAAAAAAAAAATACATTACCTAGAAACTATATTTTCAATTATATCATTTCAATTTTCTCTGGAAAGTGCCACTAAAATTTTGCAATTTATTAAGAGCAATTAAATTTAAACAGTCCTGATTTATTTTGCGTGTATGTCACAGCAAGCAGATAGGATTGTGAGAAAATATTACAGGTTGTTTAACCTGTGTTATTAAACTTTTACTTCCTTATTTCCTTGTTCTTAGAGCAGTTATCAAGGTTTTGGCAAGATCTGTGACAACAAGAATAAAGTATTTTTTTTTATCTTTGCTTTTGAATCAATTTACCATCGCACCTGTGGGGTTTTTTTTTTTTCAATTACATGCGTTATTGATTTTTTCCTAATATTAAAGTATGAATAAATCACATAAAATATATTGTTTTTCTTAAAAAATTATTCAAGAAGCAACTTTGAGCCATATATCACAAGGGAAAGGTAGGCAAGGGGGACAACTGTTCTCTGTACAATACTTGTTTTAAAGCTGAACTCCAGGCAGATATAAAAGAGAGAAATGAATGCGGCTCTGCTTTGAATACAGCAATAATGTGGTCTTAACCCTCTGCAAAGAAAAATGAACAAAGCATGTTCTTGTATAGTGTGTACTTGCCTCAATCCAAAGCACCTAGTGTGATTTCTATCTGCCATATCCTTTCTCTGAGGTCTGCATGAGTCACTTCTGACAGGTAATGCCAACTCCAGGCAATCCTGGCATAAAGTGGAGGGGGCCTACAGTGCACAGCCTGTGATTGACAGTCTCACCTGTGCATGTTTCCCTATGAGATTGTGTAGAGATGGGTGTTTCCCTTTCCTCCACTCAGGACTCTTCAAGGAAAGAGATAATTGCTATCCACATTTTTGTACATAGTTGCTAAGAAGGTTGTCTTGAAGGTCTTCGGGCATCCCATATACTCCTAGAACCCATCCAAGTTTTTAACCCCTTAATAAAATCACACAAAACCAAGCTTTTTTTTTACTCTAGTGTGCAAAGTGTGAAAATTTGTGTTTCCTGGCAGAGCATAGGGTAATTAAACCAGAAACAGACTCTCCTGCGCTCTGAGACCCAGATAGGTGGCGGATAGATGGAACCAGAACTGGAAAAATTCGACACCACCAGTGCATATAGGGTAGTGCAGCTCCAAACAAGGCTGGGGAAGCCCGACCAGTACTGCAAAGGGTTAGACACATCTGACGCGTTTCGAATGGCATCCCTTCTTCATCAGAGCTCTGATGAAGAAGGGATGCCCTTCGAAACGCGTCAGCTGTACTCTGAGTGTCTAACCCTATGATGGAACTCGCGCAGGCTGCCTAATGTTCAAGTTCCTCTGAGGGCTTACATGCTTGAATTATTTCGCTGTTTGTGAGTATCATTTTGAATTTAATAAAATTTGGTTACTGAGGTAATGCGCAAGGTTGGTGCGCTTTTTGTTTTGTTTTGCTTTGCAGAGCATAGGGTAACCCATTCAAATCCAATGGCCCCTAAGGGGTAGTGCTGCATAAAAAAACAAAAAACAAAACATTTTTAGGTATTCTGTGTGAATGGGAACACATAAGAGAAATATAGTGCAGTTTTCTTATATTTTTACTGCAAAAGATTTGAATACGCTTTGAACCAAAAGTAGGTAGCTTTAGAAAAAAAATCCCATACTCTTGCTGAATATTTTGCCAACATATAATCTATTAAAACGTTAAGTGACATACCTATCAACAGATCTCCTGCAGTGGAAGACTATCGGTATCTGTTTAACATACGAGCACCATTTTATTTACAACTAGCCATTACACACAATACATTGATTTACCACAGCCCCTGTCAACATGTTACTGTAATTAAGAATGTTAGCTGTAAATCACTCACTGGTACAACATTCACTGAAACAAAATTGAATTCTGTTCCTTCAAACTTAAAGGAAACTTGTACTGAAGAAAGTAAGGAGGTTTCTGTTCTTAATCTTTTTTTTTTTCTGTAAACGCTAGTTGTTTGGTTGTCATACTGATCCAGCGTCTTCTGAGTAACCAACCCTCAGCTAGTCAGGGGCTCTAAAGTATTCAGGTCAGGAAAAGCCAAGCAGGTACCAAGAAGGTCGGCAGTGGCAGTCTCCATATTGTTGTCCATACAGGCTTCCGTTAACCCCTTCCCAACCAGCCCCAGTGCCCCTTTAATAGGGTCTGTACATCTGGGGGGGGGAGGACTTTTTTGGACTTTTTCATTTATATAGCAAAAAACAATAAAAATCCCAGCGGTGATAAATACCGCCAAAATAATATTTTATCTGTCTCAAAAAAAATGCTAAAAAATTCATATGGGTACAGTGTTGCATAACCACGCAATTGTCATTCAAAGTGTGACAGCGCTGAAAGCTGAAAATTGGCCTGGACAGGAAGGGGGTAAAAGTGTCCGGACATGAAGTGGTAAAACATCAGCACCTAATCTGTGCTTTGGACTATAGAGGGAAATTTTGCAGTGCTTTGAGTGGCGCTCAAAGCTTTTAATATGGATCACAGGGAGTTTAGTGTAATCTGAGACCTGAGTGGTGGGAAAGGACACACCCCCCTCTACAGAGTCTCATGAGGAAACATGCACAACTGATATTTTGAATTACCTTAGGTACTTATATAGCACCATCAATTTACACAGTCCTTTACATATATATATGGTACATTCATATCAGTCCCTAAACCTCAAGGGGTGTACAATCGAGGTCCCTAACTTACATTCATACATACACATACTAGGGACAATTAACCTACCAGCATGTCTTTAGAGTGTGGGAAGAAACCCACGCAGGCACAGGAAGAACATGCAAACTCCAGGCAGGTGGTGCCATGATTGGGATTCAAATCAACGACCCTGGTGCTGCTAGGCCATCTTTTGAGCCATCGCCTGAGATTTTGTGGTGGGATAACTTGTCAGAAATGACAAAATCAGATAGAAGAGAGAAGACAGAATCATACAAGGTGCATTGGATTGAGGCAAGTATACACTATAGAGGGATTTTCTCTGATCATGTTTCATTTCAGAGGTTTACAACCATTTTAAGGCATGTATGGGGTGCAGCTCACTAAATCATGGTCCACTTACTGGTGAATTTTGGGTAGATCAAGGAAGAACTTGATGTGTCTATTTTTATTTTTTTTTCCAATTTACCTATTTACCTCTGTACTATTTCATTTCCTTCTCAGTTAAATGTCCCCTGGAAATATAGGTGGCTTTTCAAAATACCGAAATTAACAGAAACAAAAGGAGAACAAAAGACGTGAAGACAGAACACACGCTCGGTTCAGAAACGTAATTATTTTATCTCCTAGAATAATGTGCCCTTCAGAAATTATTTTGGACTAGATGTTTCAAACCAATGATCCGTAGTTAATTATCTCTAATAACTGTTGCATATTATGGTTAGATCTATGTTTTTGCTAAACTAATTAATAATATCTTCATTAGTGGAAAGACAAGGTAGATGGGTATTTTCATTTTTCACACTGAAAGGGTAGATATTTTAAGTGCTGTAATTTGCTGAAGCCAAGCATCCCAAATACTGTTATTAATTAATGAACGCTGAAAGAAAGACGTTTGTTAAAGCCAGGTTTTTAAATGTTTCAAGCGTTTTTTTTTTTCTCTTCATACTTTTAAACCGTTACAGAAGCACTCCTGACAGATTTTAGCAAGTAACATTTAATTAGGGCTGTGGTAACAAAAGAGCGAATGTTAGGATAGAAGCTCCAGAGGTAAGCTTTAAAGGCTGCTTATGGATGCGCCAGTGAGGGGATCTACTGTTAGACATCAAAGTTCTAACAAGGAAATCCCATATTTCTTAAAACAGATCTTCAGCCAAAAATAGCAAGATAAAAAAATAATATCCCATTAAAAGATAAAATAAAATAACAGATTTTGAGAGTGCCAGCTGCTGGAAAACGAGCAATAAGGTAAGTTAAACTGCTCTTTAATGGTACCCTAGACAAAAAGAACATTTAAACCTTGCAGTGTAGGGGGAAACCCACTGCAAGGTTAACTTTGAAATTTCCATACACTTCAGCTTTCAAGGCATAAAAAAACAGTGTATTAAATCTGAAAGATCTAAGAGAGAAAAGGCTGTAACTTCAGACAACAGCATTCTCAAGGATCCAAGGAATTGCTTGTTGGCCACTCTGAATTTTACCCTCAAACCTTTCAGGTTGGGCCTAAGATTAAAAGGCAGAAAAAATGTGCTCCAACTTAGCGCATTAGTGTATTCTCCATTTTAAAAACCCAGATTTCTCAGGAGGGCAGCAATTAGGTCTGGTGACATCATGGGGTTTATTTACTAAAGCTGGAGAGTCCAAAATCAGACTCCCTTCTGCATAGAAACCAATCAGCTTCCAGGTTTCATTGCCAAAGCTTCATTGAACAAGCTGAGATTAGAAGCTGATTGGTTTCTATGCAGAAGGGAGTCCTGATTTTGGACTCTCCAGCTTTAGTAAATAAACCCCCATCAGTCACTGGACTTCAGTCATCTGAAAGTTGGGGTTTTTTCTTCAGGTAGTTTCCTTTTTGTTCAGATTTTCTTTATGTAGGGTAGCTTCCAGATAAGCGGCCCTTGCATTTTCATGCT